TAAATTCTTAAACAGAAAAAATAGCTGACAAATAGTTCCAGTTGTTATAGATGATAATGGCAACAAATGCAGATATGATCTACGAATGATATATCAATTATAACAACAGTATTTTGATATACTGCACATACCGGTTGACAGCACTCGTAAACGTTAACGCTTACGATGGACATTATCTATTTGATATTCAAATAGTCTATTATGTGTGTCAGTTATGTATGCATAGAGATGCGGAAAGAAGTGATCAAATACGAAATATACATCTTCAATGATGCAAAATATCATAAGAATTTCACTGGACAACGGATGACCCCCCTATCTTTACCTTGTGTCTCTCTTGATGATATGGTTTTGCAATTGTGGATTACTGTTTTCACCTATACACACAGGAGATTTATCAGCAACAAACTTGCCAATTCTCTTATCCAAGCTTTTGAATCGACCGTTTTTAACCAAATACTTCTGTTTCCAATCTTCATACAGTTTATGTATAGAAGCACAGCCTTAACATCTGTAAATTTCTCATTCGTATAACCTTCTCATCGATGCCAGTATATGAAACAGAAACTATATGCTTTCACTTTCAGCTGCTCACTCTAATCTTCACTCAATCTAATTTCATTTTTTATCTATAATACAACAAATGAATTTGATGTGCACAGCGATGCAGCTGATAATCTACTTGCCAAATATCGGTGCTACAGATCCAACGATTACTCTGAACGTGATGCATGCTACAGCCATCGATTTCATCGCTTAAACCCACAGTGCACTTGTGATGAACTTAGCAAATTTTTCTTCATCAATTTCTAATCAATTGCCAAGACAAACAATTTTTTTCGCATCATTGAATTCGTTTAAATTGCTGAAGAAAGCAGTACGATGGAAAAAAAAAAAGAAAGCTGCTTCCGATTTTCTTTTCCTTCTACTGAATGCTCCTTAAAATAATCACATTTGTTTCAGTAAATGTTTCTCCTCGCAAAATATCATCATCGCTGAACCAAAAAGATTCACATATATATTAAAAAACATAAACTGGTCATCATTACTGCGTCAAGGAACAACTAGTTTATGCCATAAAAGCAATAGCATTTCACAGATAGTACTTCAGTGCATCAAGTAAGTTATCATTTAAAGAGACAGCGAAGGATAAAATGATATTAGGCAGAAAAAGAATAAAAAAAATTTTCTCCTCTTATAAACAATAATTGTTCTGAATATATCACACGGCCAAGATACTATATGGACAGATAAAGCAGCTTTTTTAATGCTGCATAAACAATTTTTATATACATATGTCAAACACAGTAATCACATTCACCAATATCAATACTTTTGATTATACAAATACACAATGATATTAATGTATTCTGAAAGATCAGTTTTTTTCTCAAAATCAGTGCCTAAAATTGAGATAAAAAAAAATTGGAAAGCTAAATCACACTCAATAAGCATTCACAAACTTAACGTAAGAAAAGCAATATGCTTTTTTCTCTTTTCACTTGAATTTATATTATTTGTCAAATGAAAAAAAAAAAGAAGAAGTTAATTAAATAAAACTTATAACTTTACCAAAATGTTAGTTGTTTACTAATTAGTAACAAGAAACAAAAAAACTGCTATAAAAATTTACACTGGCTTTCTCTAAAAAACACCCAAATAATAAATTATTAGTTAATCTATTTATAACTTCATTACATACCTGAATCGAACCCTTATTATATCACATAATTATGCTATTTGATATTTACAGTAATATTAGATTTAACAAGCAACTAGCGGGAAAAAATAATTCAAACTTCCACTTGTAGGTCGGTAGATTGTTTGTCAGGAAAATACCGTTTATCATCCAACTAAAAAAAAATGACAAAAATGGATGGAAAGATATTTGATGCCTCACTTTTCTTTAGCGCTATAATAGAAAAAAATGTAATAATAAGTTATCGAGATGTTAAACTTACAAATGGTCCTTATGTTGAAGACTTCTCTGGACTAGCCAATAGTACATCAATAAAGCGACCATAAACTGCAGTTTCCACAGTGCTGTAAAAATCAATTCTAATCCGATCAATTTCTTTCCTAGAAGCCCACTCTAACAACGCACGAGATATCTTCATTGTTAACTTCTTCCATCTCACTGGAGTATTGGCCAACTTCTGTATGAACTCCGGATTAACGCGACCATTACGAAAAATAAATGTAAACGGAAATGTATCATAAGCTGGTAACAATTCAAGCAGGTGATAATGTTCATGGCAGACAGAGATAAGTGAAAGTTTTGCACAAAGACGATCATATTCTTCCTCTGGAACCCGACTCAACCACAGTTTTAATGCATTTGGCCAACCATTTCGTGTAGCTATACAGCAAACGTAGTCGGAGAGGATCAGGTAATGAAATCCTGCAGCATGCCAAGCAGCACTGCGTATTACTGCATTCGAAGCTTTTCGTAGCTTATTTCTACTCTCCTCATTTAAATTGTTCCAGATTCTTGAGCATTCCTAAAAAAGAACGAGTATTTTCAATTGTTAGATCAAGATTTAAAATGGTGTTATATGATTTCCAAATTATAAATCAACCTTTGCTTTTCTTTACGATTTTTCTCTAGAAAGAAGAATATGAAACAAAAGTTGCAACACAAAAAAGGTAGATGAACTAGGAAAAATGTGCAATTCTTCGCACATAAATCACTGTACGACAGAAAAATTAACCATAAATTTAGTTGTTACAGCCACAACATGCGGCGTTCATGTGACCTGCATACATTTCGCTTGCTGTACAAAGTTGATACAATACTGCTGTCCAAACATAATTGGAACAAGAAACAAGAAAAATAGAGAAGAACATTAAACTAAGGGCTTTCCTCAGTTCTGTGAAATACAAAAAAATGTAAGTTGCTCTAAGTGAGAAAGAAAAACAAAAAATTTTGCACCTACATTTGTTTACAGCTAACAAACACTGTCAAAAAGTTTATTCTTTTTTTTTTTTTTTTTTT